GTAGGTATCTGTACCTTGGTGGGACTGTCTAAAGATGAACCAGCCTCTCTAATAAGATTTTGCATGAAATCTCTGGCAACTTGTGTGTCCATTAAATCATTCTTAATCACTTCTGTGAGGGTCTGCAGTGCATGCAGAGTGATATAGAAAAATAGCGTGGAAACTTACAGTTAAACACTGTTCTGGAAAGTAGTGATCCCGGACATGGAGACAAGCTCTGTTCTTGAATGTAGAACTTCATCTGGTTTAGCAAAAGAACAGCAGCTGGGATGACGGTGTCATTTGGTGCTGACAAGCATTCAACCCACCTAATGAAGCTGCATGTCCCAGCTAGGAGAAAATTTGTCCGAGGAATCCCTGGTGACGTCAGAGCTGCGACGTCTGTAGAGCTGCGCATGTCGAATTGCGCAGCCCAGCTGGTCTATCCCCCCAAAATGGATGACCCCAACAGTATTCCATATAATCAATGCTGCCTATTCCTAACCTGACAATGAGTCAAAACAGAAAAAAGACGGTAGAGGCGGACTGGCAGTTTGTCCATTCAGGAGAGGTCCCGACCGGTTCTTCAGTCCAGGACCGTTGGTCTGCCTCGTTCAATACCTGAAAAATTACACAGAGCTCATTAGGACATTGAAGCTCATTAGGCATGTTGCTAGCTCCTGCCGCTAGCTTAACGGGCATTTTCTAGTACACAACTGAGACAAAGAAACGTTTTATCTGACTTCTCCTAAAACTATGATAAAATCCTTCTAAAGCTCACAAAACGATGAAGGGTTACCTACAAAATGTCTTAACCAATGTGCAGATTACAAATATATCATATTGTGGACACCATTACCTGAACATAGGGGAGAAAGACTCACGAGAGTGATTATTAGCTGCTTCTCTCACGCAGTAGCTTAATACAATGAGGAGACAGCACAGCCCCCTAGCGGAGTATGGAGCCACTACCAATTGATCCCAGAAAAGGCTTACTTGCCGATTACTGATGTACAAATCGCCATTTCCTTGAATGAAATTACATTAATTCAAAATGAAAAATAACTTTTTAACACTTTGTTTTTACTGTATTTACATTGTTGTTTAGGCTTATGTTTACTAATATGAATTAATATTTATTGTGACCCTTTTTACTGTCAACTCTTATAGTATGAAATCAACTTATGAGCAACAGCTATATAAAATATTTTAGTACTGCATTGGGGGTACAATAGTAGTCTTTCCAACCTATCACATAAGGAGAACCAGGATTCGTCTCCCGGCTGGTGGTCTCTCTGCATGGAGTTTGCATGTTCTTCCCGTGCATGCGTGGGTTCTCTCCGGGTACTCTTGCTTCCTCCCACAGTCCAAAAACATGATTGTTAGGTTAATTGGGCTCTCTACATTGCCCTTAGGTGTGAATGGGTGTGTGCAGGGTTGTTTGTCCTGTGTCTCTCTGTGTTGCCATTAAATGGGCTGGTGACCTGTTTAGGGTGTATGCGTAGACTGCTAGAGACAGGTACCAGCTTCCCAGCTATTTTTATTTCTGGTCACATTTACCCTCATTTTTCCTTATTCTAGAAGAATGTCTTGTTTGGTTACACAGATATTGACAGTAAACTCAGTTCTCACATTTATGTTATTACCCTGTTAATTATACTAATTATACTGTCCAAAGTCTATATTCATAAATTCAAGTTCTCTAATTATAAGCTAAATTTCACTGAATTACTTTTGTATATAAAGCACTATATTTTAGTCAATAATGGACAGCAAGAATTTAAAAAAAGCCTTCAGAGCCATTAATCTTTTAAAAATTTTTAATATTCTTTAATTTTGGGTGTTTGAATGTTTTGTAAATCCTGATATTTCATGTTTATGGTATATTCAAGCTGTATCTTTTTCAGTTTTTTTTTTCTTTGTATTCCTGTCCGTGTTCTTTTTGTCAACTTGATGTGTGCCATGTTATGTGTTGTTCTGAAAAAAAAAAGAAAAACTGGCTTCTTTGCCTGTTTGGCTTTTGGCTTCTTATTACTGCCACCCTCTGGACTGAAGGTGTAGTGCAGTTATCTTTACAACTCCTCCATATGTCATTAGGCAGACTTAAATAAACGTTCCTTCGAGAGCAGTGGAAACAGACAGTTACAAACATTCCTTTTACCCAGGTAAAACAAACAAACAAAAAAAACTGGTATTTAAATCCAGCGATTTTCAGTGGAAAAAGGGCTGTTCAGACAGTGCATGGTTACCAATTTAGGAGAGACAGTTTTGGGGGTCTTCCAGAGAAAACTTGAGGGAAAAAAACTGATCCAGGTAGCAAGTCCTTTAAATGCTCTACAACTGATAACAAATTAACTAATTATGTCTCAAAATGATTTGGCTCATAGTATCTGCTCACATGGCTTCCCTATCTTTCAGTCCTAGTGATGTATCTGCCTAATCGCTAATCTTTATTTAGACCTAGACCTAATTAGATTGTGCAGGAGAAAGGCTGCAGATCTAACTTAGTTTACAACACAACAAACTAGTTTTCTGGCACAGAGTGACAAGACATGCAGAGAAACAATGGGATGTCACAGAGTCCCCATGTCTGAGGAGGTTTTCTGTAAAGCATCAGAAAGCCCCTACAACAGACTGACTGATGCGACATAGCAGGCTGCAGTTGACCTCATTTGAATTTGAACTGCTTTCAATTACTGCAAGTATCACGCTGGCTCTTGGCCTACAGAACACAGGACTTCCTATTGTTGAAGAGCCAAGACTGTGGAGGAACTCAGTTTGATCTATTTCGGTCGTGTGTCAATGTCATTAAAGACTATGTGGGCTCAAGTTGAGGCTTTGTGCCAGCTGAATAAAGAAACTTAGGGCAAGGATTCTTTGAATAAAATCTAGACTATAACCGTGTGTTTTTATACATCTTTGGGCTTTGAATTTCATCACAAGAGACTGTTAAAATTTTGACAAGTGAATTAGCAGGTTCAAAAATAAAATTATGAATTCCAGAGTTTAAGGTAGATATTGGAATACTAGAGTCTTTTGGGGTGGATATAGAAGAAAACAGAAGTAATGAGGAATTTAAACAGAAAAAAGATGGAACTATTCACAGATTCCTATTTGGATTAAAGTCTTGACTTTGACTGGACCAAGCCTTCCATTGTAGGTCTGGCTATGTTTAGGGTTGTTGTCCTGCTGGAAGAGGTTGGTCCAACAGGATTGTCCTGCATTTAGCTCCATCCATCATTCCACCAACTTTGACCAGCTACCCTGTCCCTGATCAAGCATAGCATCTCAAAAGCATGATGGTGCCACCATCACACACACGTCAGAACATACGTGCCTACCACAGTCATAATCAATAAATTAGAATATGTGTTCTGATGAGGTACGTTTGTCAGATTAAAAGTAACTTTTCAAAATAAATACCTTTATAAGCAGGTTATAAACATACTTTTTATTAAGCCCACATTTCTGTATTAAAATGTTTTTTTTAATAAATTGGTCTGATGTAATATTCCAGTCTTAAATGTGGTGTTTTCATTAGCTGTAAACAGAAAATCACAATAATTAACTGAAGTAAAGGCCAGAAAACATCATCCTGTGGGGAAATAGTCTATATAATGTGTTTCATTTAGTGATTTAAGTGAATGAAATAAATAGAATTTTCAAAAGTATTCTAATTTATTGAAAATAACTTTTTATCCTGTCAAGAAATCCACTCCTGCAGCAGGTCAGTGACCAGTACTCCACAGTGTGGACTTGGTGGTCCTTTTCTAACCTCTCTCATTTGGAAGTGTTGATGTTTGTGATATGTGTCCAAGGCTGTAGTCCAGTACTCTGTCCTGTGTCTGCACCACTTCAGCATGACGAGTTTAACTGGTGTTAAAGGTGCTAAATAATGTGTCAGTTGATGGTATGTGGCACAGCACTCCTAGGACTTTCACCTTATTAGTCTTCTCAACAGATTCTTCCACCTGTGCTTTGGCCCTCTACAGCTCCTCAAGAGCTACCAAAAGCCTTTTAGCTGCTTCTAAAATTATTGTTCTCCTTGCCCAGCCAGCTAGTTTAGATAGACGGCCATGTATTGGTAGGGTTACAGTTGCATCATACTCTGTCTCAGATGATGGATTAAACAGAGCTCTCTAAGGTGTTTATAGTTTGGGATATTGTTCCGTAAAATATTGCTGCTTTAAGCCTCTAAATAATTTTCTTCCTGACCTTTCTACTAACTTTGTGATGCTGTTTTTGTTACAAATTTTACAAATGTCTAACAAACCTCTAAGGCAAGGGTCACAAACTACAGTCATTGAGGACAGGTGCTTTGCAACTTGAGTCCCTGGTCCAACACACCTGAGTCAAATGCCTGAATTACTTCCTTAGCATTAAATTAATCTCATCACCTTGCGCTCTGTTTGTACATGGGCTACCCTGACTGTTCAGTACACAGGCTCAGTTTTGTCATTCGGCAATGTTCGGGTGCAACCTTCTTACATGCACACAATGAGACAATGATTCAAGTAATGTAGTTAACAACAAACTTTACTTTGAGGGAAAAAACTAGGAAATGAACACAAACTTTTATTTTTAATCAATAACCGATTTCATATCATGTCATCGGGTGGTAAACATGTACTGAGTTGTTTACTTCACCCCAGCATGCAGGGTTCACATGGAAAGTAGATGCGGACAAAGAGACAGCTGCAGAGCCAATTCAGATTTGTAGGTATGTGGGCTATTACTTGATGTGGGAAGTTGTGAACTATAAACAAGCCCTAAAAAAAGTGCCTCCCATCACTCACTGGCAAAGCAGAAGATGCAAAGCATTTTGTTTAGGTCCAGTCAAAGTTTTAGGGTTGTGTAGAAAGAGGAGATGATTAAGACGCTGTTCGGGTACACATTACTGTATAGTAATCTGCGTTAAACGATAAAAAATAAATAAATAGATAGAAAATAAAACATAAACTAAGTAATTGTAATATTTCTAATAATGTTTGTATTATTGTATATGCTGCTTTGTATATTGTATATACGGTGGCGCAGTTGGTAGCGCTGTTTCCTTGAAGCAAGAAGGTTCTGGGTTCGACTCCCAGTCGGTGGTCTTTCTGCATCGAGTTTGCATGTTCTCCCCATGCATACTTTGGTTCTCTCCGGGTACTCCGGCTTCCTCCCACAGTCCAAAAACATGCTTGTTAGATTAATTGCCTTTAGGTGTGAATGAGTGTGTGTGCATGGTTGTTTGTCCTGTATGTCTCTGGTGACCTGTCCAGTGTGTACCCTGCCTCTTGCCTGTTGACTGCTGGAGATAGGCACCAGCTCCCCCGTGACCCACTATGGAATAAATGGTATAGAAGATGAATGAATCTTGTTTATGGAAGAATGTCTTGTATACGTTTTTGCATTTGACAACTTTGAGTGAAAACACCCGGTACTGGACAGGGGCTCTTCTGATCTCATTGCTCATGTACTGTAAGTAAATCGCAATGTGCGTGTTTTGCGGATGCTGTCCGGTTTCAAGTGATATAGACAGATTTAAAGTCAATTACATACATTTCAATCCAATCCTATTTATAAAAGTCAAGTTTTTGTCAGTCAGTGTGGGAGAGCTGATGGAGATGGGAAGGATACAGAACTGCTTTATCTTTTAAAGTGCCTGTGACACACTTTTCCCACAAATGCAAAAATTTTAAGAAAACATCTTAAAATCGAAGAAACTGGGCAGTAATTGGCATCATATTAGGATTGAAGACATGATGAAAGACAAATGTGACACAAAATAAGCACATTTGAGTATTACATTTTCCAAGTCCGGTCATTTATTTTGTGAGGGTCAATGATAAACTGTTCTGGTAAAAGCCAAGTTGCGTTAAAAGCAGCTTTAATATGGTGAAACAGTGCATTGCTGGTGGTGGCAGCAATACTACGACAGCAGCCGTTAGCCTGCACTACTTTCCTGAAGTGAAGAGGATCAGAGCTGCCTGGATCAGAGCTGGAAAACTGAGGGACAGATGGGCTGGTCCCACCAAGCACACCCAGTTGTGATCGTAGGACTTCTAAACAAACTGCTTCTAACAAGAAACCTCTGAATTCGCATGAGAAATGATGTCAGAGGTCGGAATATCTGACAGAGGAAGGAGAATGTTGAAGCAGATGCTATAGCCTCGATGTTCAGAGCATCTGTTGGGAAAAGATTGCCAAAAAAAAGGTTGTTGCTGCTGTTGCTTAACAGATCAAGGCTCAGCAGGTAAGAACACTTCCTTTACATTTAAATATTGGTAGTTACTGTTAATTAATAATTAAATTATTATTATAAAAATAACATATATTGAAATAAATATTTCTCTAAAGATTCTAATATAATGTTAAAAAAAGACACACCAGGTAGTGTCTTTAAATCTTGAATCATCTGTTGTGTCTGCTGCTACTACTGCTCTTTGCTCATCAGCTTTGCCTCCAGTTGTTTCACTGCTAGGTGGCACTGTCACCTCCCCTAGCAGCTCCAACATATAAGGAGCTCTGCCTAAAACTTTGCCATCTGGTGACAGCTACTTTTCTTCTTCTGACTCTGCTTCGTCTCTGTCTGACAGTGACAAAAATATATCTAAAGAAACATCAGATTCTTCCTGCTATCTGTGTTGTCAGCCATTGTAGTAGCGGTCAGTGTACGAGCCAGGGTTCCCCTAGTCTGGAAGTTCCTTTTTAGTGAAACTTATGACCATATATCTCAACAGCCGTTCATTTCAGCGGCATCAATTTACTGTTTACAATATTTTATCAATGTTTCCTTTTCATAAATGTGTAAGGATTATGATTATTGATTAATTAATATTTATCAGGAATTATAATTTAAAATCATAATAAAGTAAAAAAAATAATTTCTTAACCAAAAGTCATTACTTACGAATAGAAATCAGAGATGTCCTCTGGTGCTGTGATTATGGGCTCAAAGCTCTTTAATAATTACAAATTATTAACCAAAACCACAATCTGTCACTGTTTATTCAACCACTCCACCGAAGGTGGAGGATCTTCGACCTTGTTTTGACAAATAAATCACTCTTGCACAAAATAAATACAAACGCTTCTCTTAATTATATATATGAAGATTTATTAAAGCCAAATAATACTGATATACCATTATTCTGGTCCAAAAACCTTCACCTAACTAACAACCACTATTCTACACAAAGGGAATAACAATGACTACCTAACAATAATAATAAAAGAAAAATATATATGCATTTAGTGTCTATGAAGATCAAACCAGCAGTTTTATGGGCAAAATGTGTAATTCGGGTTAAATGAGAAGTCGTGGCGTGGTCTTCAAACGGCGAATAAATCCTCTGATCTTCTCGTATCAGACAGACTTCCAGCTTTCAAGCTCTTCCGGGAATGGCCTTGTGGAACAAAAGTTTGGCTGCGAGCTTTTGTCTCTCCAGATATGCGCCTCCGATGCGCTGTACTGTGAGACACGTGCGAAATGACCACGTAACTCTCCCCCTCGGCCGGTTTATGCTCTCGGTGACGTCAGAGCTGCGACGTCTGTTGAACTGCGCAGGTCAAAATGTGCGACCGAAATGGATGACCCCCAGAAATGTATTTGAATTTTGTAGAAGCAATTAATTTTGTTAAAATGTGTTCTTGATATCTTGAGAGTGCCAGAAGATGTGAGTAAATCGGATTGTTACATTGGATTGGTTAAGGTTTCGACATAGACACCAGTGTTATGAATTTCAATAAAAACGCCCTGTATGAGTTGAAGGCAGGGAATTTTTGGGAATTTTGATGAAGACATTTTTGTGCACTGATGAATAAACATTCCCCTGTGAAGACTGGGAGGAGAGATAATTCTGAGTTTTGTGTCTAATTGCTTAACTTAGTAGTTTTTCTGCACTCTTCCACAATTTATCATAAAAATTTGGGAGTTTGATAATAATTTAATATTTAAACAGGGAGCCGAATGATAGCAGCAATAAAATATCAAATTAGGAAAGCTGAGGGTGGCCAAAGAATAAGAAAAAAGATTATTTTATTTCCAATGCAGACTAGTATTCATTATACACACAGCATACATATTGTACTACTCTGCATTCGGCCAGTACTGTCATATTCACAGACCTGTGTGCAGATTGGTTGTGTCTGTGTCTCTCTTACCTCTCTGTTCTGGGTGTCATTGGCAAGCGTGGAGCCGCAGCTGCAGCTCATTGGACTAATTAGCTGGATCATAGAAGGAGCTGGAAACCAGAGAGAGAAGCCAGTGTGACTGCTCTTGCAGCATGGTAACCAGGCCTACTACTCTTTGTGTTGTCAATCGTCCAGTACCTGATTTAACCCAAGTCTTGTCCTCACTTCAGCAGATACCTGTCCAAGAAGGCTTTTAGGATCTCACGTTGGCTTCCACATCTCTGGAACTTGTACTATAACCTTCTGGGTCTAGCACTGTTTGTCTCCTCCATGCTCCTCGGATCTTCCACCTGGTTTACTAATCAGTCCGCTGCTCTGCTGCCACTGCTGCCACTGCTCACCTCCTTACCTGTCCACCCTCATACATCAACGGACATCACCATCTGTAGTAATAACCAAGCACACGACAAAGACACAACATCTCACACTGTAAAACATAACAATCTGTCAGCTCCTGCCTCTGTGAGATTGATAATCCTCCCCGGAGCTCTTGTCCGGTTGGTGACGGTGGAGCTGAGCTGGTGGGTGGTTTTTCATGGGCTTATGTTCCAGGGGTGGTGATGTTATGTCTTTGCTGGGACATGGTGGGGGCCATTGTGGTGGTAGTCCTGGCGGTGGTCCCTTGGATGTCTGTGGCTTCGATCTCCTCCGTGTCTGCCTTGGGTCCTGGGGGGCAGGTATGTGGCTTCTCACACTTGCTATTGAATTTTCTTGTGGAGAACCTTACATACACAAGCATATAAACACCCACAGGTGTTTGGATTCAGGTGTTTTACAGACACACAGATATATTCTATATCGTGCTGCGGTTGCCCCTAAATACATCTTTTGTTTTTTTTTAATTATGATTTTAAATTATAATTCTTGATAAATATTAATCATAATCCTTACATAATTGGCGTCCCTGGGTGGGCCTTGAAATGACAGATACCACTATTGCAGGAAGTAACACAACTGGATATCCTGGAAGCTCTGTTGTGAGATTTGGTGAAATTTTGCAGTAGTGCTTGTAAGCTAGAGGATGTATCTTGACTAATATTGGCTAAAATTCTACTGCAGATAATTAATAATATACTCCTAATAGTGATAATAATCTTTCTAAGGTGCTTTTGTGGACGCAAGGTGGACGTTTTGTATAGTTTATGGTGAAATTAAACGTAAATTGCCAGCTTGCCAAAGCAAGCCCTGCTGGCTTAGAGCTTTAGCGCAGTCAGCTTGTTGCCATAGCAACCACAAATTACTGGCACAGTAGGAGGCCTATTATCTGCCCTGGTCCCCGTTGGTATAACTACTGTAACTACCACTCACCCAGTCAGGGAGGAAGCAACACCACCGTCTGGTGGCCATTGAGTGAATTGCAGTTGCAACAGGATTTTCTCCACTGCAGACAGGCGTTTAGTGCCATCTTGTGGTCCCTGTTGAGAATTACAGTTGCTGCCACAGAAATTAACTAATTTGTGACTGGCCGTGGCAAAACCAGGAACAAGTCTACCTGGTGTCGTTTTGAGTAATTTACAGATCCTGAAAGAGTGGAGTCTAAGCTTTCCAATGATGTCAAACTTGTGGAAATCAAAAAGGAATTGAATAAGATATGACCATCTGAATGTCTGCACTCACCAGACTACTTTTCTGAGAAATCAGCACTCAAAGATTCATTGTTTTCTCTCCCTGAAAGCAGGGCGGTGACAAAAGCTGCTAATTTGAATAACTTTGAATAGCCCCACCTCCCCCAACTGTTTGTCAACAGAAGCTCCAACTGACTGCAAGAGTTCTGTCACTGAACTCATAGTAGTATGTAAAGATAATTTACAACACTGCATTCCAATCTATTTTTTATATTATTTATGTCTGCAAATTGCATCATGACTGCAACCTAATGTCAGCATCCTGGTGATTGGTTTGGTTTCCTCTTGTTTT